CAGCCATCATCCGCTCGCCCTGATAACAGAGGATCGTACTCCACTGCCCCATACACTGCTCGAGGAAGTCTCTAACTGTACAGTCAATCTTGTACAGCTCGAGGACCCTCTTTAGCCATGCATGGGGCACCGAGTCGAATGCCTTTCTGTAGTCTATCCAGGCGGCGGAGAAGTTCCGACGGTTGCGTTTTACCACTTTGCCAATGACCGCGTCAATGAGGAGTGGTTCCTTGGTTCCACGACCACCGCCCCGACATCCATTTTGAGCGCGTGACATCACCTGATTTAGCTCCAGGTGACGAGTGATTCTCGCGCTCAAAATGGATGTCAGTGTCTTATATATAGTGGGTAGACACGTGATGGGGCGGTATTTGCTCGGGTCTGTGGTATCTTCGGGTCTGTGGTGGGTGGTGGTGTGATCTTTAGGAACCAAGTGAGTGATCCCAGTAGTGAAGAGACTCGGAAGCGACTTCTGGTCGAGAGCCTCTTGAAACTGTCGGGCGAGCACAGCGTGACACACTAGGAACACCTTCATTCAGTAATGATGCAGCCCGTCGAGCCCCGTACTTTTCCAGTTCGGGGCCCTACGGACCGCCTCAGCAACGTCTTCCGGCGTTATGGTGATGGGGTCCATAGGCGCAACACTCGCACCCTGGCTCGCCACAACTTCCATCCAAGGGCCCTCGCTGTGGTTTACTGGCTCTGACCACAGGCCACGCCAGAATGCGATAGTGTCAGCCTGATCCGGTCCTTGGCCCGCTCCACTACCTTTGGTCGCTCCAATGATTTATAGAGCCTCTTCTGATCACTCTGGAAGAGACGATTCTGGTTGAACCGCCTTGACCTCTCGGAAAATCGTCGAATCCGCTTCCCCCAAGCAGCGATCTTTTGCTTCAGGTCGTCTATGCGCTCCGTTAGTTTCTGCGTGGTATCCGGCTGGGACAAACTGATATTTGTCCCAGCACACGCCATCCTAACGGTGCGCATAATCCTCGGTCTATTATTACCCGACCTGAAGCTTGTCAGTCTGCCGATAAGGGCCCTTGCCTTTGCGATACGGTCCTCGATTCTATTTCTCCAGGCTGGGATGGCGCTACTTTGTGTAGTAGCGCGTCCAGCCATGGGAAGTTTGGCGCCAATAATACGGCAATCTGCCACTGCGGCGCCAAAAAGAATCGAGTCCGTCTCGCAAAGGTCCCGGCTGGCTTCCAAATAGGTCACCAGCATTGGGTTAAGAGCCCTCACGACAGCCCGATTTCGCTTGCTTAGGGGTATGCGGGGAAGTCGCGGTCGATTTTCGAAAGGGGTGCTGCGCGTTTCCAAAATCGCCTCTTCCAATATACTCCTCATTTGCTCTAGTTCGTGGGAGACTATTTCATCGTCGTTCGAATCAACCACAACTGGAAGATCCATGGCGGCTTCCACGTGTGGGTGCTGGTCTGTCGAATGTGGAGCTGCATCTCCAGCCGTAGCCATTCATTCGACGAGGGAATAGCCGTTCGTAGTCGTTCGAGTTCGGCATCATCAAATATTTTCGAGCGCATGATGTACCGAACTCGGTCTGCCAGGTTTTGTCTGTCGGTCTCGGTGCCAGCTGCCGTGACGGGGATAGACGGCTCCAGCTCAGCAAAAAAAGCAATGCATCCGAGACCTATACGCTATTCCCACAGTTTCTTCCCCTTTCGCCCTATAGTACGCCCGCAATGCGTTTTCGTTCATGGATTTCTTCCAACGCATGCGACGTGCTCCACCAGCGGCGGGTGCCGCTTGCTGGGTCCGCGAAGACCCAGCCGACATCAAGCCTTCTGGTGGGGATGATGGATGCGAAGGGCTGCTAGGTGATCGTGCAGCTCCTCGCGCTCGGCTGGCGGCCCGCATGCTGCCGCGTCCAGCGCCAGCTCCAGACGCGCCCCGGCGACCCCCAGGCAGCGGCCCTATGCGCGTTCTTTTCTGTGTTTTATCCATCATCCATTTTATGGGCGCCAAATAACGGGAGACGCCCAGGCCCGGCACCGTTTCGTGGTTGGGTCATATGCACAAACGGACCTTTGCATCTACAATTTTGCCTAGACACGGCGCTCACACCTCTTGGCAGGATGCTGACTGACTGCGCCGACGTCGCAGTTTTGTCACATAACTGTTACGTCAGCGGGCGATGGGGTCGTCACTTCCCTACGCCTATTATTATTATTATTATTGTGGGGTATCTATATAGTTTTCTCATCTGGTTGGGTTCTATAAATATATAATTATAAATGAGAATGAAAAGATAAATATACATAAATATCAATAACATAAAATAAATATAAAAATACTTAAATAAATAAAAGCCCAACCAGATGGAGGCCCTCGGCAGGGGAGACCAAACGGCCGAGGGTTAGGGGGAAAGGGAAAGAAACCGGCGGACGATGCGGGCGGTATCGAGGAGCACCGCCTTCTGCATTTGAGCCCGGAGCGGTCCGCCACGTAGTCCCAGTCGCCTCAGATGACTCGAGAGGCTGACTGGGATTAGCCCGTTTGCAGAGACGACTACAGGAATAATTTCGGTCGGCAGACCACCCCACATGTCGGTCACCTCGTGAGCCAGGTCCAGATATTTTGTTTGCTTGTCTGTTTCGGCTTTCACGAGGTTCTCGTCATACGGAATGGTAATGTCGACCAAAAATATCCTTGACTGTGCCCGGTCCATCAGCACAATATCAGGCTTATTCGCAAGAATAGTCCTGTCTGTGATGATGGCCCGGTCCCAGTAGAGCCTGGCGCGGTCATTTTCGAGCACGGCTTCCGGCAAGTACTTGTAATACGGCAATTTCCGGTCCACGAGACCATATTTCAGAGCGAGCTCCTGGTGTAGAATTCTGGCTACTAGGTTGTGCCTGTGCAAGTACTCAGAGTTAGAAAGCGCCGAACAACCGGAGATGACATGCCTAAGTGATTCACCGGGATGGCGACAAGCTCGACAGATGTCGACGGTGCCATCCTTTGGGATGTATCTCCGATAGTTGTTGGTCTTAATAACCTGATCCTGTATTGCACAGACAAAACCCTCGGTTTCCCCCGAAGAGGTCACCGAAATGTAGCCAGTTGAGGGAGGCGACTGTACCTACGAAGGGCTCATGAAGAGCCCTGTAGTACCTCCTGTGGAGCTCCTTCTCCTTCCATACGGTCTCCCGGTCGGAAATGCTAAGCACTGCTGGGTCCTGCCATTGCTCGTGGGCTAAGGATAGAGGGGTAAGCCCTTTATCACTAGAAATGACGTCATTATAGAATGGATCATCCGATCTCGCCAGGAAGTAATCACGGAGGCTGCACACTTCGCGATTATGCATGGTGAGCGCGCTCATAAAACCACGCCCACCATGCTTTCGCGGCAAGTACAGCCTCATTACCGACGATCTCGGATGATGCATCCTATGGGACGTCATGGTAGTGCGGACTTTTCTATCCAGGGCGTTAAGTTCGGTCTGAGTCCACCTGAGTATGCCAAAGGTATATATGAGGACAGGCATGACCCAACCGTTATATGCGTGTGTCTTATTCACACCGGACAAAAGGCTGTTAAGCACTTTGGTCAAGCGTGCATAAAACACGTCGCAAACTGACTGTTTCATACCAGCCTCATCGATACCGATGTTCTGTGACATACCCAGGTATCGGTATGTTTCAGCCTCGGAAAGGGTCTTTAAGTTGACGGGCATAGATAAATCTATGCCCTCAGAGTTAGCAACCCTTCCCCTTTCAACATGAAGGACCGCACACTTATCCGTCCCCAGCTCCATTCCAATGGAATTGCTAAATTCACAAGTGATGTTTAGCAATTCCATAAGATGGGAGCGACTGGAGGCGAATAACTTGAGGTCATCCATATAGAAAAGGTGGGTCACTTTTGTTCCTCCTTTCCGTAGCTGAAATCCTCTCCCGGAGCCCTCCAGTAAGGTACTGAGAGGGTTCAGAGAGAGGCAGAACCAGATTGGACTCAGACAATCGCCCTGGAAGATACCCCTTCTTATCCTTATGTGGTTCTCCGCAGCCATCATCCGCTCGCCCTGATAACAGAGGATCGTACTCCACTGCCCCATACACTGCTCGAGGAAGTCTCTAACTGTACAGTCAATCTTGTACAGCTCGAGGACCCTCTTTAGCCATGCATGGGGCACCGAGTCGAATGCCTTTCTGTAGTCTATCCAGGCGGCGGAGAAGTTCCGACGGTTGCGTTTTACCACTTTGCCAATGACCGCGTCAATGAGGAGTGGTTCCTTGGTTCCACGACCACCGCCCCGACATCCATTTTGAGCGCGTGACATCACCTGATTTAGCTCCAGGTGACGAGTGATTCTCGCGCTCAAAATGGATGTCAGTGTCTTATATATAGTGGGTAGACACGTGATGGGGCGGTTCGTCTGTGGTATACTGATCTTTAGGAACCAAGTGAGTGATCTCAGTAGTGAAGAGGCTCGGGAGCGACTTCTGATCGAGAGCCTCTTGATACTGTCGGGCGAGCACAGCGTGACACACTACGAACCCCTTCAGCCAGTAATGATGCAGCCCGTCGAGCCCCGGACTTTTCCAGTTCGGGGCCCTACGGACCGCCTCAGCCACGTCTTCAGGCGTTATGGTGACGGGGTCCATAGGCGTAACACTCTGCACTCTGGCTCGCCACAAGTTCCATCCAAGGGCCCTCGCTGTGGTTTAAGGGCTCTGACCACAGGCCACGCCAAAATGCGACAGTGTCAGCCTGATCCGGTCCTGGGCCCGCTCCACATACCTCTGGTCGCTCCAATGATTTATAGAGCCTCTTCTGATCACTCTGGAAGAGACGATTTTGGTTGAACCGCCTTGACCTCTCGCTAAATCGTCGAATCCGCTTCCCCCAAGCAGCGATTTTTTGCTTCAGGTCATCTATGCGCTCCGTTAGTTTCTGCGTGATATCCGGCTGGGACAAACTAATATTTGTCCCAGCAAACGCCATTCTAACGGTGCGCACAACTCTCGGTCTAATATTACCCGACCTGAAGCTTGTCAGTCTGCCGATAAGGGGCCCTTGCCTTTGCGATACGGTCCTCGATTCTTTTTCTCCAGGCTGGGATGGCACTACCTTGTTGAGTAGCACGTCCAGCCATGGGAAGTTTGGCGCCAATAATACGGCATACTGCCAGTGCGGCGCCAAAAAGAATTGAGTCCGTCTCGCAAAGGTCCCGGCTGGCTTCCAAATAGGTCACCAGCATTGGGTTAAGAGCCCGCACGACAGCCCGATTTCGCTTGCTAAGGAGTATGCGGGGAAGTCGCGTTCGATTTTCGAGAGGCATGCTGCGCGTTTCCAGCATCGACTCTTCCAATATGCTCCTCATTTTCTCTAGTTCGTGGGGGACTATTCCATCATCGTCTGAATCAACCACAAATGGAATATTGACGGCAGCGTCCACATTTGCAGTTTGCTGCGCAATTAGTGGCGCCGCATTCCCAGCCGTAGTATTTCCATCCGATGAGGGAACAGCCTCACGTCGTAGTCGTTCGAGTTCGGCGTCACCAAATATGTTGGAGCGCAGGATGTACCGAACTCGGTCTGCCAGGTTTTGCTCAGTGACGGATAGAGATGGCTCCAGCTCTGCAAAAAAGCGATGCATCCGAGCCCGATATGCCAAACATCCGGTTTCTTCCCCTTTTGCCCTAAAGTACGCCCGCAGTGCGTTTGCGTTCATTGTTTGTGACCAACGCATGCGACGTGCTCCACCAGCGGCGGGTGCCGCTTGCTGAGTCCGAGAAGACCCAGCCGACACCAAGCCTTCTGGTGGGGATGATGGATGCGGAGGGCTGCTAGGTGATCGTACAGCTCCTCGCGCTCGGCTGGCGGCCCGCATGCTGCCGCGTCCAGCGCCAGCTCCAGACGCGCCCCGGCGACCCCCAGGCAGCGGCCCTATGCGCGTTCCTCTTTGTACCATCATCCATTTATGGGCGCCAAATAACGGGAGACGCCCAAGCCCGGCACCGTTTCGTGGTTCGGTCTTATGCACAAACGGACCTTTGCACCCACAATTTTGCCTAGGCACGGCGCTCACACCTCTTGGCAGGGCGCTGACTGACTGCGCCGACGTAGTAGTTTTGTCACATAACTGTTACGTCAGCGGGCGATGGGGTCGTCACTTCCCTACGCCTTTTTATTATTATATTATAATTATTATTATGGGGTATCTATATAGTTTTCTCATCTGGTTGGGTTCTATAAATATATAATTATAAATGAAAATGAAAAGATAAATATACATAAATATCAATAACATAAAATAAATATAAAAGTACATAAATAAGTAAAAGCCCAACCAGATGGAGGCCCTCGGCAGGGGAGACCAAACGGCCGAGGGTTAGGGGGAAAAGGGAAAGAAACCGGCGGACGATGCGGGCGGTATCGAGGAGCACCGCCTTCTGCATTTGAACCTGGAGCGGTCCGCCACGTAGTCCCAGCCGCCTCAGATGACCCGAGAGGCTGACTGGGATTAGCCCGTTTGCAGAGACGACTACGGGAATAATTTCGGTCGGCAGACCACCCCACATGTCGGTCACCTCGTGAGCCAGGTCCAGATATTTTGTTTGCTTGTCTGTTTCGGCTTTCACGAGGTTCTCGTCATACGGAATGGTAATGTCGACCAAAAATATCCTTGATTGTGCCCGGTCCATCAGCACAATATCAGGCTTATTCGCAAGAATAGTCCTGTCTGTGATGATGGCCCGGTCCCAATAGAGCCTGGCGCGATCATTTTCGAGCACGGCTTCCGGCAAGTACTTGTAGTATGGCAATTTCCGGTCCACGAGACCGTATTTCAGAGCGAGCTCCTGGTGTAGAATTCTGGCTACTAGGTTGTGCCTGTGCAAGTACTCAGAGTTAGAAAGCGCCGAACAACCGGAGATAACATGCCTAAGTGACTCACCGGGATGGCGACAAGCTCGACAGATGTCGACGGTGCCATCCTTTAGGATGTATCTCCGATAGTTGTTGGTCTTAATAACCTGATCCTGTATTGCACAGACAAAACCCTCGGTTTCCCCCGAAGAGATCACCAAAGCGTAGCCAGTGGAGGGAGGCTACTGTGTCTACGAAAGGCTCATGTAGAGCCTTGTAGAACCTCCCGTGGAGCTCCTTCTCCTTCCATACGGTCTCTCGGTCGGAAATGCTCTGCACTGCCGGGTCTTGCCATTGCTCGTTGGCTAAGGATAGAGGGGTAAGTCCTTTATCACAAGAAATGACGTCCTTATAGAATGGATCATCCGATCTCGCCAGGAAGTAATCACGGAGGCTGCACACTTCGCGATTATGCATGGTGAGCGCGCTCAAGAAGCCACGACCACCATGCTTCCGCGGCAAGTACAGCCTCATTACCGACGATCTCGGATGATGCATCCTATGGGACGTCATGGTAGTGCGGACTTTTCTATCCAGGGCGTTAAGTTCAGTCTGAGTCCACCTGAGTATGCCAAAGGTATACATGAGGACAGGCATGACCCAGCCGTTATATGCGTGTGCCTTATTCACACCGGACAAAAGGCTGTTAAGCACTTTGGTCAAGCGTGCATAAAACACGTCGCAAACTGACTGTTTCATACCAGCCTCATCGATACCGATGTTCTGTGACATACCCAGGTATCGGTATGTTTCAGCCTCGGAAAGGGTTCTTAAGTTGACGGGCATAGATAAGTCTATGCCCTCAGAGTTAGCAACCCTTCCCCTTTCAACATGGAGGACCGCACACTTATCCGTCCCCAGCTCCATTCCAATGGAATTGCTAAATTCACAAGTGATGTTTAGCAATTCCATAAGATGGGAGCGACTGGAGGCGAATAACTTGAGGTCATCCATATAGAAAAGGTGGGTCACTTTTGTCCCTCCTTTCCGTAGCTGAAATCCCCTCGCGGAGCCCTCCAGTAAGGTACTGAGAGGGTTCAGAGAGAGGCAGAACCAGATTGGACTCAGACAGTCGCCCTGGAATATACCCCTTCTTATCCTTATGTGGTTCTCCGCAGCCGTCATCCGCTCGCCCAGATGACAGAGGATCGTACTCCACTGCCCCATACACTGCTCGAGGAAGTCTCTAACTGTACAGTCTATCTTGTACAGCTCGAGGACTCTCTTTAGCCATGTATGGGGCACCGAGTCGAATGCCTTTCTGTAGTCTATCCAGGCGGCGGAGAAGTTCCGACGGTTGCGTTTCACCACTTTGCCAATGACCGCGTCAATGAGGAGTGGTTCCTTGGTTCCACGACCACCGCCCCCGACATCCATTTTGAGCGCGCGACATCACCTGATTTAAGTCCAGGTGACAAGTGATTCTCGCGCTCAAAATGGATGTTAGTGTCTTGTATATGGTCGGTAGACACGTGATGGGGCGGTATTTGCTCGGGTCTGTGGTACCCTGGTCTTTAGGAACCAAATGAGTGATCCCAGTAGTGAAGAGGCTTGGGAGCGACTTCTGGTTGAGAGCCTCTTGAAACTGTCGGGCGAGCACAGAGTGACACACCATGAACCCCTTCAGCCAGTAGTGATGCAGCCCGTCAAGCCCCGGACTTTTCCAGTTCGGGGCCCTACGGACCGCCTCAGCTACGTCATCCGGCGTTATGATGACGGGGTCCATGGGCGTAATACCCGCACACTGACTCGCCACAACTTCCGTCCAAGGGCCCTCGCTGTGGTTTACGGGCTCTGACCACAGGCTGCGCCAGAATGCTACCGTGTCGGCCTGATTCGGTGCTGGACCCGTTCCACTTACCATTGGTCGCTCCAATGATTTATAGAGCCTCTTCTGATCACTCTGGAAGAGACGATTCTGGTTGAACCGTGTCGACCTCTCGGTATATCGCCGAATCCGTTTTCCCCAAGCAGCGATTCTCTGCTTCAGGTCGTCTATGCGCTCCGTCAGTTTTTGCGTTATATCCGGCTGGGACAAACTGACATTTGTCCCAGCAAACGCCATCCTGACGGTGCGCATAATCCTTGGCCTGTTGTTGCCTGATCTGAAGCATATCAGTCTGCCGATGAGAGCTCTAGCCTTTGCGATACGTTCCTCAATTCTTCTTCTCCATGCTGGGATAGCGCTACTTTGGCCAGTAGCGCGTCCAGCCGTGGAAACCTTGGCGCCTATGATACGGCAGACTGCCAGTGCGGCGCCAAAAAGAATTGAGTCCGTCTCGCAAAGGTCCCGGCTGGCTTCCAAATAGGTAACCAGCATTGGGTTCAGAGCCCTCACGACAGCCCGATTCCGCTTGCTTAGGGCTATGCGGGGAAGTCGCGGTCGATTTTCGAGAGGCGTACTGCGCGTTTCCACAATCGCCTCTTCCAATGTACTCCTCATTTGCTCTAGTTCCAGTTCCTGGGCGACTGTTCCATCATCGTTTGAATCAACCACAACTGGGGTATTCACGGCGGCATCCACGTTTGCGGTTTGCTCTACCATTTGTGGCGCCGCATCCTCAGCCGTAGCATTCTCATCCGACGAGGGAACAGCCTCACGTCGTAGCCGTTCGAGTTCGGCGACATCAAATATATTTGAGCGCAAGATATACCGAACTCGGTCTGCCAGGTTTTGCTCTGTGACGGTTAAAGATGGCTCCAGCTCAGCAAAAAGACGATGCATCCTAGCCCGATACGCCAAACATCCAGTTTCTCCCCCTTTCGCCCCAAAATACGCCCGCAATGCGTTGCTGTTCATGTGGGTTGTCCAACGCATGCGGCGTACTCCACCAGTGGCGGGTGCCGATTGCTGGGCCCGCGAAGACCCTGCCGACACCAAGCCAGCTGGTGGGGATGATGGATGCGAGGGGCTGCTGGGTGGTCGTGCAGCACCTCGCGCTCGGCTGGCGGTTCGCATGCTGCCGCGTCCAGCGCCAGCTCCAGACGCGCCCTGGCGACCTCCAGGCAGCGGCCCTTTTGCGCGTTCTTTCCGTATTCCATCATCCATAGTGGTGGGCGTCATTTAGCGGGGGACGCCCAGACCCGGCGCCGTTTCATGGTAAGGCCATGTGCACAAGCGGGCCTTTGCACCTTCAATTTTTGCCGAGGCACGGCACTAACACCTCTTGGCAAGGTGCTGACTGACTGCGCTGACGTAGCGGTTTTGTCACATAACCGTTACGTCAGCGGGCGATGGGGTCGTCACTTCCCTACGCCTTATTATTATTATTATTATTATTGTTCGCGACGGCCTAACAACGCTAAGAAACGAAGTAATAAAGAATATTGTTTTTGTATTAATAATAAAATTACCGACAAAACGGTTAAAACGTCTATTAATATAGTTGTGTAGCATATTTATAACTCTTAGTATATTTGTATAGAATGTCGTTTTGATAACAAGTAATGTAAACAACTTTTATTATATTGTTGCGTGAATAAGTCAACGTCATACAACAGCGCCATCTAGTGTCAGGAACGAGAGCGAGGGGAGCTTTGCAGAAAATGACATCACAAATCTTTCAACCGACAGCGCCATCCGAAGAACTAAGTTTCTAGAAAATCTACACTCGAACATTCGTCGCCTTGCGCGCATTTACTTGAATATTCCGGATGCTTCATTGCTAATTTGTATATATAGGCGCTGCAAGATGCGATCGGAGCAGTATTGGATTTGGCGAGAAGCGAAACTTCGGAGCGGAATAAAGTGAATTAGTGTGTTTAATTATTAGTGTTTTTAAGTTTTAATTTGTGTAAAGTAAATTAAAGTGTTAATTTAGGTAATTTTATCGTCACGAACCATAAGCTCGTAACAATTGGTGTCAGAAGTGGGATAAAATAATGCCGATTTTACCTACGGAGGACACGGAGGGGGTCCGTACCCGAAATCCACGACCGCAGGAGACGGACCAACGAAGAGTTGGTGGTGCAACGCCGCAGACGGCGGAGGGCCAGCCACCGGATGCAGGCCCGTCGGTAGCTCCTACATCTGCAGCACCTGACTTAGGTGCTCTGATGGTGATGCTGCAGGAGCAGGCTCGCCGACAGGAGGAGCAGGCTCTGGGCCGACAGGAGGAACAGGTCCGTCAGTTTAAGAGCAGATACAGAGCGGACAGGAGGAACAGGTCCGTCAGTTGAAAGAGCAGCTGCAGAGCGGACAAGAGGAACAGGCCCGCCGACAGGAGGAAGCAGATGCTCTTCATGAAGGACCTTCACGCTACCTTTGCGAAAGAGATAAGGGAGGTGAAGGATAGGGTTGCTCAACATGACAACCGCCTGTTGGAAGCTGAAACCCGAATCGAAGAACATGAAACCCGAATCAACCATGTGAACAATCGGGTTGACAACGTGATGGCTGACGTGAAGAAAACGCTGAACGACCTCAAACTTGGGGATGGAACTACAGCTCCAGTAGTAGCTACAGCACCTTCGCTACGTGGATTCAAAGTGCCGCCGTTCGATGGGACTTCTTCCTGGTCGGCCTACAAAATCCAGTTCGAGGCTGTCATGGAGGCAAACGGCTGGAATAAAAGCCAGGCCATGACTGCACTCACCTTAGGCCTGCGCGACCACGCTTAACCGTGTTGGAAGCTCTCGGTAAGAAAGTGACCTACGAGCAGCTCCTTGAGGCATTGGAGGCGAGATATGGTGACGCTCACCTGGAACACGTCTTTCGCGCGCAGCTTAAAGATCGCGTGCAATGCAGCAACAAAAACCTGCAGCAGTGGGCCCTTGAGGTGGAGAAGATGGTTCGAAAAGCATACCAGTCTGTACCTGCGCTCATTGAAGGGAACCTGGTGCAGACATTCATCGACGGCATCCGCGACCTGGAAGTCAGAGCTGCTGTGAGGCTCGGGCACCACGAGACGCTTAAGGACGCCTTGGCCCATGCACTGGAGGTAGAAGCTGTGCGGCAGGATCATCGTTCCCATCGCGTCAGGGAGGTTGCAGCAGCTACAGTTCGCGACCGCAACAAAGGATACAGCCCTAGGTGTTATGGCTGTGGGGAAAAGGGCCATCTTCGATCCAGCTGCCCTAAGCGAACCCTAGAAAGGGAAGGTGAACGATCCCAGGAGGGTAGGGTGGCCAACAGCACCGCCCAGCAGCAGCAGGGAAACGAGTAAAAGCCGGAACTGCGGGGCGGGTGCTGGCTGATGTTAAAAGAGCCCCAAGGATCTCGATCTCACAAACCCATGATGAGAACAGTCTAATCATCAAGGGCGAGGTCAACGGAATGCCGTGTAAACTGACCATAGACACTGGAGCCTCTCGTACGGTTGTTAGTTCCCAACTTATAAGTCAGTTCCTTGGGGACTCCGCATACAACCGAGAACGCATTACTTTGGTAACAGCCACCGGTCAGCGTATACCCGTCCGTGGAGAGAAGGAGATGGAGTTGAAGCTTGGCAACGTGATCTACCTGCATAATGTCATCGTGGCTGATATAATGGACGACTGCATCCTAGGCCTAGACTTCATGAGGAATAATTCTTGTGAGATCGACGTTAAACAAGGACAGGAGGAACTTTTTATGGAAGGTGCGTTACCAGGGAACGTGTACAGCATTAAGAAGATTGTTCTTCCGCCGAGATCAGAAACGATTGTTCCGGTTAGTCTTCCCCGAAACGCTGGGCAAGCTCACCGTTGTGTACTTGTGGAAAGGGTAAACAATGACCTTCCATGGAAAGTAGCTCGAACCTTGGTCAGAACCACTGACATCTCAAGAGTACGTGTGCTGAACCTTTGCGACCGGGAACAGATTATAGAAAAAGGCACACTGGTTGGCACTTGTGAGGAAGTGGATTGGTTACGTCGGTGCCAATATATATCGAGTGGGACCCCCAGCAAGGATTCAGAAACGAGAGTGACCACACTTTTGGAAGACTGTCGCAGTGTCCTCTCCCCGAACGAATTGGTCAAGGCGAAGAAGTTGTTACTCAAGTACGCCGATGTATTCTCGTCAAACGATGCTGACATAGGAAAGACTGGCTTAGTTCAACACGAAATAAACACAGGAGAGGAATCGCCTATCCGTCAGCGGCCAAGAAGATTGCCGGTAGCACGTGAATAGGAAGTGGAAACCATGATTGAGGGAATGGTGAAGGATGGTGTTATTGAACCTTCATCTAGTCCATGGTGTTCACCCGTGGTGCTGGTAAAGAAGAAGGATGGCAGCATGCGGTTCTGTGTTGATTACCGCCGTCTGAACGACGTTACAAAGAAGGACAGCTATCCCTTGCCAAGAATTGATGACACGCTGGACATGCTTACAGGAGTAAAATGGTTTAGCACGCTGGATCTAAAAAGTGGCTACTGGCAAGTTGAAATTGACCCTAAGGACAAGGAGAAAACTGCGTTCTCGACGGGAAAGGGTCTGTGGTAATTCAAAGTAATGCCGTTTGGGTTGTGTAATGCTCCAGCAACGTTTGAAAGGCTGATGGAGCTTGTACTTACTGGGCTAATTGGCGATGCCTGTCTGGTCTACTTGGATGACATCATCATCGTGGGCCGTACGTTTGATGAACACCTTCAAAACCTCGAACGCGTGCTCATGAAGATTCAGAGTGCCAACCTCAAGTTGAGTCCGAAGAAATGTTCACTATTCAAACGGCAAGTCAACTTTTTGGGGTATGTAGTGCCGGAAGAAGGTATCCGCACGGATTCAGAGAAAATCGCAGCTGTAAAGGATTTGCCAGTTCCAAAAGACAAGACGCAGGTTAGAACATTTTTGGGTTTGTGCTCCTATTACCGGCGATTTGTGAAGAACTTTGCAGATATAGCCAAACGTCTGCATAAGCTAACCGAGGAGAAGCGACATTTCTGCTGGGATGAAAGTTGCAATATCGCATTCCAGGAGCTCAAGGACCGTCTGTGCAAAACACCTATTTTGGGATACCCTGATGCAAGCAAAGAATTTATAGTTGACACAGACGCAAGTGATATAGGACTTGGCGGTGTGTTGTCTCAACGGAATGGTGACCAAGAGGTCGTGATAGCGTACTTCAGCAAGTCGTTGTCAAAACCGGAAAGGAACTATTGTGTCACAAGACGCGAATTGCTAGCTGTGGTAAAGTCGTTGCAACATTTTAGCAAATATCTTCTGGGACGAAAATTTCACTTACGAACTAACCATGCTGCACTAAAATGGCTATTGCAGTTTAAAAACCCAGAAGAACAAGTTGCGAGGTGGATTGAACTACTGCAGGAAAACGACTTTGAGATCGAACATTGCAGCGGGAAATCTCATGGCAACGCAGATGCATTGTCAAGAAGACCTTGTCCTGAAGATTGCAAACATTGTACTAGGCAAGAGAGTAAGGAAGTGGTATCCGTGAGGATGCTCAGGGCAGACCACCTCAGCAACGAGTGGAAGGATAGCTTACTACATGCACAGCAGGAAGATCCGGACATCAAGCCGATTCTGGAATGGATAAAGGCCAGTGCTCCCAAGCCCAAGTGGAGTGACGTCTCAGCGATGAGTTCGACCACTAAAAGCTATTGGGCCCAGTGGGACAGCTTGTTGCTTCAGGATGGAGTTCTGTGTCGTAAATAGGAAAATGTTCGGGGAGACAGCTGTCATTTGCAAATGGTTGTCCCTAAAGCTAAAGTACCGGATGTTCTACAGCTGTACCATAATGATTGTTCAGGAGGCCATCTGGGAGTTAAACGAACTCTACTGAAGAT